TGAGAAGAAAAGGGGCAGAGGGCTAGGGGAAAGGAAAGAAGGGAATGGAATTAATATGAGAAAATGAAAAAATGGAAAGAAAGTCTTTGTAAATAGGGAGGGATGGAGGGGTTGAAGGGAGGGCAGGGAAGAAATAAGAACCAAGAGAGATTATGTAAAGCTGCAAATTTCCAATGATGAATGTCATTGTATTGTATACCTAAAATGTACCAATAAAATAATATTTTAAAAAAATGTTTTACTGTGAGCTTTGTTTTCACAAATTACTTAAATACGTCAGTAATCATGGTTGTTGGGCATTTATTTATTTGCTTTAATAGCTTTGATTTATATCATGTGTAAGTGGCTAGGAAATTCTCATTTTTCCTATAAATGTTGTACTGACTACAACCATCCTTAGAGTTTGTCAAAGAAAAAGAAAGGTCTTGTGTTAAGGCTTTATAGTATATATGTATTTGTTACATATTTCAAAATCTGACCTTTAGAGTTTTAATATTGAGTAAAAACTTCTTGTTTATCTTGTAAGCAGTTACTTACATTAGTTGTGTTTTTTAAAAAATGAATGTTTTCTTCGTGTCTACGGTGGTTAGGGCCTTTTTGAGAGTGCAAGTGTGGGTGGTAGTTTTGACTGTTAATTGTTAAATCAGGGCAACAAGTACTGTTGCAGACTTTTTGGGACATATATTTACTTTCTGTTTATGTTAAGGTCATGAGAAGTTGTTCAACACCCTGTATTACCAGAGTGTATTTTGCCTTAGATATTATTGAATGAGATTTTTGAGATAATTCCAATTTACTGTTAGAGAAGACTTTAAAATTTTCGCCTAATACTTAATGTTAAGTTTTAATAATTTTTTCAACAGTATATCTTTTTTGAGTTTAACTTTAGCAATAGATTATTTGTTATCTTTAAACATAAAATATCTCAGGGTCAATTTTTTAAACCAGGTATGATGGTGCACATCTATAATCCAAGCACTCTGGGTGGCTGAGGATCACAAATTTGAGCCCAGCCCAGGCATTTTAGAGAGACTGTATCTCAAAAAAGGGATGGGATATAGCTCAGTGCAAAAATTCTGGTTTTAATCCCCAATACTACGCAAAAGTAGTGTACCATATCAAGTGCCACATTTCTTTGAATATCTTCATATACTATTTATCTGAAAGGTTACAAAAATAGCTGCAGGTTACTTGTTTTATTTTCTGTAATATTGATATCATATACTATTTAAAATATTTGCTACATGACTATGAATAGTTGTAGTTTTCTGATAATTTCTGGATAGGTTAGTTTTTTAAAAAATTCCTTGACTAGGTCTTATTAGAGTATGCACTCTTTTAGAACTACTTGCCTAGTTTAACGTGTTCCTTCCTCAAGCTATGTCTGTGATCTCTGAAAAAGTTTACTTTCTTTCCTAGTTAACAGAAAGAGAGTAAGATATAACTTCATTTTATTAAAAAGTAGGAAGAGCCGGGGATTTAGCTCAGTGGTTCCGCCACTGAGCAAGCACAAAGTCCTGAGCTCAATCCCTAGTACCAAAAAAATAAAAAGTAGGAAGAAATATTTATGTTCTAGTCAAGAATAAAAGTGTCATGTATTCTAAAATACTCTTTGTTTGGGGACCATTTTTTCTTTTGTATATAAAGAAAAGAAAAATAAGAATAAGACATTTTACATGTATTTTTAATTTTTTCCATTTTGTAAATTCTGACACTATGTCTTTAAAAAGGGACTTGCAGCAAAGCATTGCCAGAGAACCTAGTGCTCCTTCAATTCCTACACCTGCATATCAGTCCTCTCCAGCAGGGGGACATGCACCGTCTCCTCCAACTCCAGCTCCAAGAACCATGCCGGTTAGTAAGCCAAATACACTTTTAAATAATGAAAGTTTTGCATTCATTATTGATAGCTTGCCTGTTCTAAAGCATAGAACAGACTACACTGGAAGGATCTAGTGGTTAGCACCTGCATCAGGTAGCCAACCTTCTCATGGTTTGTAATATGTAGAACACAGCATCACTTACGAATTCCTGGCCAAAAATGTTTAAGCCTAGTCTAATCGAACCTTTGGAATAATTTTCTGTTTATGACAAATACAGAGATGTTTAAATAAGGTATACGGTGCCACAAAGAAATAGTTGGACATATCTAAAAAATGGGACATTATATGGGACACCGAGGCTAGTCTTTTCTAAAATAGAAAAAAAAAGGAGAGGAAAGCATATTCTCAATTAAAAGAACTGAAAGATTCATTATAATCAACTGTGGTCCATAAACCATGATTTTGGTTCATAAAAACAGCTGTTAGAACTTCTTGGTGATAAACATGGAAATTTGAATCCAGACTGGATATTTGATAATATTGAGGAATAGTCATTAATTTTCTCAGGGTGGAAATACTATTGTGATTATATAGGAGATATTTTATCTTTGAAGGTTGAGGTCTGTAAGACTAGCGCCTTGAAGTTTTCAACACTTTGAAAAGGCCTCTAAATCTATAGTATGCAGATACAGCTATAGTGAAGCAGTAATGGTACAGGGTTAGTTATTGAATTTCATGGTGGATGTGTGATTATTTTATTATACTTTTTAAAAGGTTTTGGGTGTTTAAAAATTTTTGTAGAGTTTGGCGACTAGGAAGAAATTATAGTCAAAAATTGTGTTTTTACTCCAAAATTTAACCATTGGTGGAAGCAGTAAATTATAAAATTACATGTTAGGCATCAGGAAAAAGAGCAGTGACAGGAATTTTCACAAATTGAGGAATTCTTCCACTGTGATACATTTCTAGAATAATTAATTTTTAGTGATACCGGAGTTTCTCATGTTCTCATTTATTCATTTTAATTAAAAGCAACTTGAGAGAACCATGAAACATTAAAATCAGTGTATACTTTTTTTTAACAGCCTTCTAAGCCCCAACCTCCAGCCCGGCCTCCACCTCCTGTGCTTCCAGCAAATCGAGCTCCTTCTACTAGTGCTCCAGCTCCATTGGGAACTGGGAGTGTGACACCAGCTCCTTCACAAACCCCTGGCTCAGCTCCCCTTCCACAGGCCCAGGGACCACCCTACCCTACCTATCCAGGATATCCTGGGTAAGGATGCAACTTTGTATATCCTAAAAATAGGCTCATGTTGTTTCTAGCTCTGGCTAACAAAGACAGGCGCACCTCTTCTCTAAGTGGAGGTGTCATGAATATTCATGTGTCACTGTTAGCTTATATAGAAATTAAAATGTTACAGTTATTAAATAATTTTCTAGGCTATTTAAAATTTGTTTTTGTTATTATTAGAGCATGTTACTAATCAAGAATTCTGAGGTTTGTTTTGGGAAATTGGTACATTCATTTAATATGTCTTAATGATTGTCAATCTCATTACCTCCTTCTTCCTTTATTCCCTCTTCTCCCAGCCCCCCATTTCTCCAGAAGTCTACCTTCTAGTTTCCTGCTATTTCTCCTTTAATTACCATGCAATATTTTTCTTGAGTTTGGCTTATTTCACTTAACATGATGGTCTCCAGTTGCATCCATTTTTCAGCAAATGACATGATTTCATTCTTATTTATGGCTGAATGTTTTATTGTATATATATACCGTATTTTCTTTATCCATTCATCTTTTGATGAATGGATAAAGGCATCTAGGCTGTTTCCACAACTTAGTGATTGTGAATTGCACTGCTATAAACACAGATATGCAGGTATCACTATAGTATGCTGTCTTTAATTCTTTCAGGATTATACCCAGGAAAGGGATAGGTAGATCAGGTGGTATTTCTATTTTTAGTTTTTGAGGAATCTCCATACTGATTTCGATAGTAGTTATGCTAATTTACATTCCCACAATATAGGAGGATTCCTCTTCCTTTCACTCCACTGCATCCATGCCAGCATTCTTTTTTTTATTTTTTATTTTTTTTGTATTATTGATAATATCCATTCTGGCTGGGGTTAGAGGAAATCTCAAATTAGTTTTAAATTGTATTTCCCTAACGATTAAAAATGTTGTACATTTTTTCATATACTTAATGACTATTTGTAGTTTTTCTTTTGAAAAGTGTGTATTTGCCAATTTTTTTGATTTGGTTATGATTTTTAGGGGGTTAATATTTTTTGAGTTCTTTATATATTCTAGAGATTAATCCTCTATCAGAAGAGTAGCTAGCAAAAAATTTCTCCCATTTTGTAGGCTGTCTCTTCACTGTTTCCTTTGCTGTGCAGAAGCTTTTAAATTTATTGTCCCATTTCTTGGTATTTCCTGTGCTGTTGGAGTTCTGTTAAGGAAGTCTTTGCTTATGCTAGACTATTTAAATTTATATTTTTATTTTTTTCTCATTGCATTTATATTAAACCATATCTCTTCTGTGGAATTCAGTATGTTTCCTTGGGGCCGTCTTTATTTAGGTGATAAACAGATAGGTACCTTTTCTGAGCTTAGGGTACCAAGACCAATATGGCCTTGTTTACTCTCTGAAGTCTTGACATTTAATAAATGATTGAATAGAAATTTACTTAGCTATGGAATGTGCCTCTTTAAAAGTTAGCCTTGTGCCAGTTTCTTCTTCTTTTTCTTTTCCCTTGGTGTTGCCAGTGCCTTTGAAATGCTAGGCAAATGCTTTACCCTGAACTACACGCATAGCAAGCCCTCCTGTGGTAATTTCTTAGTCTTAAAAATCCAGACCATTAACTCTCTAAAAGACGTGCTCTAAATTTTATTTAATAAGTATACTCTCATCTTCCAAATACTAGAACTTTATAAAGTGTAAATACATATGCACTGTGGTGAGTACTGTGTCTTGTGGAACAAGAATGTATTTAGGTTATTAGTTTTGCCACATTAAAATGGAGGGTCTCTTTTTATTCCTTCTTTAATAGTTGACTATTTAATCTTATTTCCTTCAACAGTATTTTCTGGCTAGTAGTAACCATCATGTTCTTTAATTTTAATTATAACTTTGAAACTATTTTTCTTTTTAATAGATTGAAAATTAGAGAAAAATGGCTTTCTTTAAAAAATTGGCTTTGGAATAATTGTTGTGTGTTTCATTTTCTCGTATTTGGTTTATCAATCCCATGATTTATGTTTGTTTTCTTCTCCCCATCAGGTATTGTCAAATGCCCATGCCCATGGGCTATAATCCTTATGCCTACGGCCAGTATAATATGCCATATCCACCAGTGTATCACCAGAGCCCTGGACAAGCTCCATACCCAGGACCCCAGCAGCCTTCATACCCCTTCCCTCAGCCCCCACAGCAGTCATACTATCCACAGCAGTAATATGTCTGCTCAGAAGCTCGGCTGGTTCAGTTCAGAGGGAAAGAAATACCAACTCTGCAATAAGTGTACTAAACTCTGCGCTCTGGTTAATATAATGTACTTTACTATACTGAATGCAGTATGTAATTTCCGTCTGTGGCTAAAAGCTATGCCCCAGTTCCACATTTGATTGAACACGTGGGATTTGCTGCTGTTGCAGTATAAACACTAGATATAATAGGATTTGAAATAAATTACAGTTCATAAAAGTTGAAAATGAGAAATTAAACCTGCAAGTGAAATGTTTGAAATGAGCATATTTTATACATAAGATGCAGTTGGGACCTCAGATCCTTATAAAGATGGTCTAAGTTTTCTTTATCTTTTGGTTTATTGATTTGGTTTAATTTCCATTATGGTATTTTACATAATCAAGACATTGTAAATCTTATAATTTAAAAATAAATTACTTAAGAACAGTTGTCATTGTTACGTTTTGTCATTGATTCTCATTATTGTCTAATTCCTTTCTGGTTTTAGTCTCATTTTGTATGTTCACAAGTTAGATACTGTGTTTAAGTGCACAAACAGTGCAAGTTAATAGGTTCAAGGACATTTTATAGGAAAACCAAAAGAATAGTACCATAATTTATCTTTCATATACTGATTAATTTGACATTTATTTTAAAAGTCCAACAATGTGGAAGAAATACACAATTGTTACCAAAGATTCTTCAAGTCAGTATACAAATATATGTATATTTAATGTTTTATTGTTAGCTTTTTCAAGAAATTGATGCAAATTCTGGTAATAATTCTTCAGTGTTTTATAACCTGGTTCCATAAATACATGTCATTGACAGTACTATCTAATGTAATGGAATTGTTTAGAGAAAATTGACTGTACCCTTCTGTTTTTTTCCACTTTACTTTCTTAACCCAGTAACATTTAATGCACAGTGTATATGAATAAATCTAAGCCCCTACCCCTTTTGTGCCTAAAAGATTGGGTTGCTTTATAATTTAGGGATCACGCAAAACAGTTGTTGGAACCACATACAATTTCTGGAACAGGCTATGTGTTATTTAACATTAGTTTCTGCTGTTAGGATACTTAGTTGCTGTATAAACCTCAGTAAAAATCATTAAGGCACATCATGGGATGAGGAAATGAGAAAGGCATGGGTTGGCCAATGTCACAGTGCGGACTGTTTTATATGAGGTTCATTTCTGAACACATTAGGCATATGAGTTGATTTTCAGTGAATCTACGTTATTTTCTGAGTTTTAATGCTGACTTTTTCTTGCATTATTGTTTCATTTAAATTATATTGTCATTTGGTCCACTGTTTTCATTTATAATTTAGATTCGTATTTTAAATGTTAGAATAAAAGTATTGTAAAAGGGAGTAAATTGGTTTAAAATATATGCATATTTTAAAGAATCATTTTGTTGTATGTAGAAAACAGACATATTAATTCAATATAAATGACGTGATGACGTGAAATATTGAAATTGATTTAAAGTCCAATAGTTAAACCATGGCAAAAATAGCTTTTTACATATCATTGCTAAGTTTTAATACTTTCGATTCATTGAAGTGTGAGATGGATTTGACACCTCTGTAAATGGCATTTAAGTTCTACATTCTCACCACTTGAGGTGTCTTGTACTTAAGATAACACCCAGTAAGAGTTAGGGATATCCCAAATTGCTAGTTTTTAAATCTTACTAATGCAGAAACAAGGGAAAAAGCAAAATTGGCCTGAATATTCTCTTGGGGAAAAAGGGCACTAAAGGAAAGGGTAAGTGCATCAGATGTCCAAAGAGAGGTATAAGACCAGTTAGCCAAGCTGCATCTTGCAGAGAGGTGAGGGGAAAATGGTTTAGAAACCCCAGAAAAAGAGCCTTCACAGCTTGCTCAACTGTTAGCAAAACCTTTTTTTATGTAGGACCCAGACCCGTTCTCTTGTCAGTTTTGTAGATTGTTAAAGATGCTTTCTTTTGGTCATCCTTGTTCAGGTACACATGACCATGTCTATAGCCCTTCATTTGCTGGATTTGTCTTCGTAGGTCTGTCTAGCATTGATAAGGTGACATGCAGAGAAGCCCTTTTCTTACCCAGTTTTACAGTCTAGCAAACAAGGAAGCCCTCTTTGGGACTGTGTTTGTCACCAAACTTTTAAATCCTTTACTTAGCTTCCCGTGTTCCACAAAATAACTTAGACATTTTGGATAATGCTGTTTATTTGGAGGTAGGAGGATTCCATTCTGTGGCTGAGGTATGTTGTTCCCATATAGGCTTTTTTATATCTACCTAAACTGAGGGAACCATCCCGATATATTTTGGGCTTTGCAATACTGTTTTAAAATAGATTAATAATGAAGCTCTGCATAGAGGGACTTGTCAGAATTGGGATGGGAGCAGGGAGCTGCCTAACTTTTATTTCTTGTTCCTAGTTAGGGACATGACCTGACTCTTCAGTCTGGTATAAAGCATTGGTCTAAAGAGAGCTGTTCTTATATTCCTTGGTCTTGATTATCAGTTAAAAAAATCAGTCATGTCTCTACAGATGAATCTTTGTGAGATATCTTTGTATCCATATCCCAACCTCTTTGTAGTTTATAATGACCCTTTAAGTAATTAAAGGAAACAAAACAAGTGGATTTTACAGAGCCTTTGTGTCCCACTCTTTTATCCCAGTCCGCAGCCTTTCTGTCAAAGCAGATTTTTAAAAATGTTTTCCATTAGAGCTTTACACTTTGCAAAAGTGTTTTATATACATTTTCTAATTTCATAAACAATAAAATTAATTTAGGTTTTATTTTGCTAATGGGGATTTTTTTTCCTTATGATTAGTATATCTTGAAGAATCTTGCTATAACCCAGTGGTATTTCATGTTTTAAAGACTTCTGTGAAATTATTAGTTGACTCACAATACAAGATATGATACAGAGTAGGAAAAAACCCTGCTATAGTCATAATTGCTGGCTTAAAAATAGACTTTAGAACTAAATGGTTGATTATAAGATTTACATGGAAGAGCAAAGAAGGAAAATTATATTTTTAAAGAAAGAGAATATTCAGGCTTTATTTCTGGTATGAAATTTATATTTTTAAAAAAGATCCTATATTATCACACCAGAGATTTTAGATTCTTTTCTGGTTACAAACATTGCTGGTAGTTGGATTATATTTTTATTGTATTCATTTCTCTTAGGGGGAAAATTGTAAAGAAACAAAAAAGGTTCCAGATGAATGTATCCTAGAAATAAAAGCTGAAAGATTCTTAATTCCTTGGAGTATGAATTCTTATTTAAAGTGTTTATCCTACATCTTTATAGTTTCCATAATTTCTCTGAAAAATGGTGGATTGGGAAATAAAACCCACTTTGATGAAATATAAAAGACTGCAAAAGGAAGACAATGTTTAATTTTTTTAAGCAGTTGTCAACTCTATTATAGATGGCACTTGGCGGTAGCGTTCACTGTATTTTGAGCATAACTCACAAAGACACGAGAACTTCCAGAACTATTTCAGAAAGTAGTGAGAATGATGGGATAAGTATGTTGAAAGAGATGGGAAATATTTTGAGGGGGATTAATGGCAACGTGTCTTCTACTATAATAAATTTTTAAAAATTTAAATATTAACGTGATTTGACTGTATAGTCATTTCATGTTTCTGGAGACTGCATATTCATTTCATTTCTAAGAGCATGGTGCTGGCATCTGGTGAGGGCTGTTTTGTTGCATCATAACATGGTGAAGGGCATCATATGGGAAGATAGAAAGTGTGCTAGCTCAGGACTCTTATTTCTATAAAGCCAATAATGCCATCCTGAGAGCTCTACCCTCATGCTCCCATCTTGTCCTACTGATCTCCCCAAGGCTTTTTTCACTTTGAAATATCATTAACAGATTTGGGGATCAACATGAACTTTTGAGGGACACATTTAAGCCAGTTCAGCTATTTTGCCATGGTGGAAATGAACACACTACAAGCTGTGGATGTTTTGGGGGGAATGAAATTCCCACTTGGCCCCTTCAGAAAAGCATTTGAGTCTTGTTGCGGCTTATTCCTGGAATGCAGCAGATGGGTGGCCAAGAGACTGCAGAGCGGAGTGACAGCCCATGGGTGAGGACCTCAGGGGTCCAGAGATCTCAGAGTAGAAAAATTTTCCTTGGGTGAAGTCAACTCCTGCAGCATCCAGCAATTTTCAGGGCGCTGCAACCCTCAGAGCTCAGGTTGCTGACAGGTGTGACTTACTCCACAAGGAGAGAGGATGTAGGGAGCTCTGCAGTCAGAGAGTTCTGGACTCTGGGCATCTAGAACAGGTGACGACACAGCTGGGTGGCATGCCCTCTCCCAAGCTCTGATAGGCTCTCACCCTTTTGTCTTCCCCGACCATGGGTGCTGTAAAAGCTGGGCACTAGTGGGTGAGAGAATCAGGCTGGTTTGGGTGGCTCCAGCCCAGACCTTGATGGTCAGGCCAAAAAATGTCATATCTCAACCCAAGTGAAGGACTCTCCTGAGCTCCTGGGAAGTGGGTTGTAGAGCTTGGATTCCAAGAGTAAGAGGTCTCCCTCAATTGCCCTTGGTGAGTGGTCTGCTCAGAAGAGGAAGCGAGAGGAGCCAGGTGTATCCTGCCTCAGATGGGATACTCTTGAGGCCACTGTGAATGTGTAGGGGAGACACAGGACACTTCACAGGGTTTTCAGTAGTAAGGAGAATTTGCAATTAGTCATACTGGCTGAGGACGGCTTGGGTGGGGTGGAGATCAGGAATCCAGGTAGAATACCAGCGCTCCTTCCTAGGAGCTCCTGGCTAGGTGGATGAGGGAACCCGCCCCCATACTTGTGCATGTGTGTGCCTGTGTGTGTGTGCCTGTGTACAGTGGGGAAGGCTCAGACAAAGAGCAGTGTTTGGGGTATTCCAGAGGTGAGAAAAGGGCCTCAGGTAGGAGACCTCAGTTGGCAATAAAAAGCCCTAGCAAGGTTGTAAGCAGGGGAGTGATGTGCTTGGGTGAAGTGGAGCTATCTCAGGAGAGAGAGGGGACATATTTGGGCTTGCTGTGGATTGTGAGATGAGCTCTGGGGCCACGCACTCCAGCTGAACGCCCTTGATTGCCATGCTGTGTGGGTTGCTGCCATGGCTGTGGGGTCCTCAGTGACCCCTTCAGTCTGGCTCACATGCACCCTCTCCCAGAGCCACTGAAAGGACAGAGGTTTGCCAAGCTGCCCATCGACTTGTCATTCCAAGTGCTTGGTATCAGTGGTGTCTTCTGGAGGGTGGGGATTCCTTGCCCTGATGTGGTGCTGAGCTAAAGGCTTGGTTGTAGAACCAGCCTGAGCTGAACTCCAATCCTGGCCTCTCCACCAAGCAGCTGTACAACTCTGAGCACAGGTTTTCTGCTGTAAGCCTCCATGTTCCTTGGTGATAGGAGGGCAGTGATCCACCGTCTCTGAAGGACTGGGTCCTGTCAGGTGGTCTGACTTTCTTCTCACCTGAGCCCCAGGTGGGTGCACCAGCCCACCTCTGACTTCAGGCTTCTCTGTGCTTTATCTTGCTAAAATTTGCTTCCCCTTGAGTCATGTCCCCCCTGGAGAGGACAGAAAATAACTCTCTTTATTTTTAGACCAAGTTAGTCACATAAAATATATTAGGTTGGTTATTTAATTCAGATTCCTCAGTTCCCACATACCTGGGAGAAAATAATGGAAATTTCTCCCTTAAAATACAGAAATTGGTTATGTCCTTTCCTTACAAGGAGAATCTGCTCGATACATAGATTAAACTAGATTATAACTGCCAGTTTCCACCAACCTCAAGGGTCCAAGGGTAGAATTCAGGAGATCGATTGTAAAAGATTAGAGTTTAATTTCTAACTGACACTTAGAATTCCCTTCAATTATAAATGGCAACAAACTGATCTTTGTAGCATTGCCACAAACCACGATGTCAGTGCTCCTAGAAATCCCAGCTATTTGTGTGTCACCTTCTGTTCCCACTAATTTTTCAACATGCCATTTGTGCTCATCACTACTTTGAATTTATGATAACTAGAGCTGCCACTAGTTCTTTTTATTTACTATGTTAAGAAAACACATTCTATATGTGTACAGCCCCTACCTATTTAATAATTGGTTATATAAATGGAAATATGATTGGCTTCATTTATAGTTATATGTATTTTACCTTATGAACTTGGGAAGAGGTCCATAGGCTTTACATGATTGCCAATATGATTCTTGACCCAAAAAAGTTCATTAACCTCTACACATCAGAAAGCTGCCTAGATGAGAGCGGCAATTCCAAATGTAACCACAGGAGGGAACTATTTTACAACTTATGTTTTAAAAGATCACAGCAGGGATTTTTCATATTGCCTCTCAGCTCTTGCTCTAAAATTGGTTCGTTTACTTTACTGTTAACAGTGTAATTGGGGCCCTATGATGATGAGACTCTGAAACTGATACCTTGCCAGGAGTTGGAGCATCTTTGTCTTGTGAATCCAGGTGGGTGTGAGATGAAAAAGTGAGTCTCCCAGGCAATAGATGAAAACAAGAGGTTTAGTGCCCATAGTTTGTTTGCTGACAGTGCCCTCCTCCATCAAGATCTTGTAGGAAAGAGAAGTTTCTTACTTTGTTATTCTAGTAAGAACAGACCCTCTATCAGGGTAAAAATGCAGCAGAAGATTTTTCATTAATACAATGTTAGTAGAAATTGTATTTTGTGTGTGTCGAGGTGGGAGGGGCCAGAGGCAGCGTTGGTGTAGGAAAAGGGGAAATCAAAACTTTCTGGGTGGAGAGAGGCTGTGATCCTGTAATAAAAACCTGAGGACCTAGCTGGGCCTTCCTCTTGGTTATGCAATAGTTGCCCCTAGGGCTGATTTTAATGGGAACAGTTTCAGACGTTCCATTGTCCTTTGGCCACATCAGCACTTAGGTCACTGTATATATTTCAGGGCATGGAATAGGGGTCTCAGAGTGTCTAATTGCAAAGGGCAGCAGCCACTTTTTCAAGTCAGCATCATTTGTTGAAAGGAACAGCTCTGGAAACCCTCCCTTGCCTGGAAGTAGGTCAGGCTAGAGGAAAGCACAGCAAATGTCTATGTGGGCACAGTCACTCCCCAGAGCACAGTTATGTACTCAGACCTACCAGATGCTAAAGTTAACATTTGTTACACTGCTTCTCTGACTTTTAAAGTGTGAAGCCTGTTTTTTTTCCCCCCCAAGTTTTCATTATGGGCCACATTGCTTCATTCATTCATTCATTCAATCACTGAATAGGTTGCTATTGAAAGCTGTCCTTTACAGGCTCCATCATGGATACTGGGGTTCTAGGAGAGAACCAGCTTCGGATGTTGTGGATCTATAGTGCCTCTGAGAATGCACAAGATGTACTGGTAAAGATGATTACTCCAAACAGGGTCATTTTGGTATAACTCCCAGAAAGTTGTTAATCTTCTCTGGGTCTATTTCCTCCTATGTAAATTGGAATAATATTACCTACCTCGTGAAATTATTTTGAGATTTTAGAAAACAGTACCCAGTTAGCACTGTGCTTGGCCACTGGCATGAGGAACATAACTTTGTTCCTTTGAGCATGTAGTGCTCATGGGCCAGGCAGTTATTAGTAGCCAAAGATACGAGTTGCTGCTGCATCCTGCTTCATTTCATGACACTGCTATCCCCATAGCTCTGTAGACCTATTAGATGCTTTTCATTAAGGTACCCATGATTGATTTTGTGAAGTGACAGTATGACAAATTGATTATGAGCTCCAGAGCTGGATAGCTTGGGCTAAGTCTCAGATAGGACAATTATTGGCTCCAAGACTTTGAATAAATTACTTAGGTTCTCTGTACTTCAATTTCCAACCTTTAAAATAACATAATACAGAACTTTATGCATAAAATTGTCATGAGTCAGTAAAGGAAAAGCACTTTAGAATAGTCCCTAGTATATAGTAATGACTCAAAATTACAAACTGCTATTATTCTTGTTATTGTCCTGCTGTATTCTCTGAGGATAAATTTAAAGGGTTTTGTGACTTTACTGGACAGGGTAGACCAGTGGTCTCGTGTTCCAGAATCCTACTTTCTCAACATGCTAAGATAATGGGTTAAGGGTGGGATGGGTGGATGAGCAATGCTGGTGTAGTGGTGGGGTGGTGAGGATGGTTATGGGTGGTACCAGGGTAAAGGTGGTGATGGTGATGTGGTAGTGGTGGGATGTTGTGATGATGGTGGGGTGGTGGAAATGGGGTAGTTCTTAGTGTGGTGTGGTA